CAAATGTCTTGATTTTCATATCAAATTCTAGTTTTTGTTTTGAGTGAGTTTGGCGTGTCGTGGCTGAAAATCACACCATGCAGTAACCTTATTTTACCTTGCTCGTTTTTCTTTTTAGTATTTTGATATCCATATACAACAATGACTGCAACAACAGAGCCTTTATTCCAAATAGCTGGCATCAGCTACATGGATCGTTTTGCATCATTCGTCATGATCTTATGTAATTTGATATTTATATTGTTTGTGAAAACCTAAGACCATGTAAATGAAGTCTGTCCTTAGACCACACAGTGAATTGGTTTCAGCAATCTTTGTGATAAACATTTGTGATGCCTTTTTCTTTGCATTACCAGGTGAAGCCACTGGACCATTCCCATGATTTACCACCACCAGGTAAAAAGGGGCGCACTTATATATGTAGTTGCATGATTTTCATGCGTCCCACTGATGGAGCAAAGCTAGTTATGAAGAAATGGATTGAGGAACTTAAAGCTCAGCCTTGGTCCAGAACAAAGAAAGCCAATGATCAGCCTGCTTTTAACTGGGCATTGAATAAAACAGCTGGACAGGTTTTTGCTGACCTTTTAGCGCATCCACATTGTACAAATTGGATTATTGGAAACCTTTTTCTTTGTTTCTGATATAAACAATTCTAATTAAGGTATTGGAAAGGTGTGGACATTGCTTTGACTATTGAGGCTTACATCTGGAGGAGATTTCAAATTTATGAACCAAAAAACTGAAATGAGTTCAAATTTGCATGCAGAAGACAAATAGTATATTTATGCCACATACGTTTTCCATGGGTTTTCTAATGGTGCATCAATTACATTTTGATGCTTGCGTATTCATGATGTCTGCAGGTGGATCTGTATCTTCTGTCCCAGGCAGCATTCCCAACAGGAGGATTATACTTCAAGAATCAGACATGGGTGCAAGAAACTAAGGGGAAGCATGTTATCATTCACAACAATTACATCACAGGTTTTGAGAAGAAGATAAAGCGTTTCCGTGATTATAGTCTCTGGTTGGTGGATGACCATGCAAGTGAGTCCCCCCTTGGAAAATTATAATGAATCAAAAGATCCTTTGAGTTGTTGTGCCTGCATGGCTAATCACACTCTTTCTTTGCCTTGGATGAAATGCAAACTGCCAATCGGGTGTTTCTGCCCATCAGCTGTTGGCCATGGAACCGTATAAAGAGTATGGAAGATCGGGAGCTTGAGTGTTGTTCTTTCTGTCATTTATTCCATGTTAATGGCTGAGCGCTAGCTTAAGGGTGGATTGCTTTTGAAACGGCTCGGTTTATATTCTCTCTCGTAGATGGAATTCATTTCACATGGGAAGTGCAAAGTGCAAATTGGGTGGAATTCATCTCCCCACTCGGCATACGAGTAGTTTGTTGAGTCAATTGGATCTCTGTTTCGTATTTTACCACCTTTTAGTGATTAAGCCAGCGAACTACTCGCTTAAAATTTTATGCAAACACAGTTTTTCCCCGCTGTACAAAATCAATCATGTCTTCTGAACTCGTTCCCGATCAATTATTGTATCACTTGTGAAGTTCCCAGTCTCGTATGCTCCCATGCGAGTGAATAAAAGCATTGATGCTGCTATAATTAGATACAGTTTGATACTGTGGTAGTGATGTATCCAAATAATTTTATTTTTTATTTTTTAAAGTTTATTATTGACATTATAACATCAAAATGAACTGAAATATTAAAAAAAATAGTTTGAAGCAAATTTTTTAATTTTTTTAAATACAAAAATAAATAGGTTTGTAGTGGTTTCTTGTAATTTTTGAAACAGTGAAGGCAAAGTGTAAAACTAACTCAGTGGTTTTCATATGATTTTTTAAACAGTAGAGGTAATTGCCTTCTTTTTTTTAAAAAAAATATTCTAGAGATTTACTAGTTTGCCCTGGTCGAATTCCTTCTTTTTAAAAAAAAAAATTATAGAGATTTACTAGTTTGCCCTGGTCGAATTTCAGAATTTGTCGAAAAAGCCTGATGTCAATCCCTGCGAGTAGCCTAATTCTCTAACCTGTAGCTGGTGTTGACTCCAAATCACATGAAAAAATAAAAGAAAAGGAAATAAATTAATTATTAGTGGTCGGGAAAATAAAAATATTTAGCTTTCAAATTATTAATTAGTCCTTTTGTTTCTAAAATCAGTTGAGTAGTTTTTATAATTTTAAAAAATAATTAATCAATCTCCACAAATCTATTTGTAACTTAAATCACTTTCATCCATTCACCTTCTTTTCCAAATTAATTTATTTTCTTATTTTAAAAATAAAAGAAGTTGATAGTGTGAAAAGATTAATAAGAAAACAAAATATTTTTTAAACTGTCAACGATAATCAAGAAACTAATAATTAATTTTCAAAACTAAAAGTACTATTTTATATTCTTAGAAAACTAAAAGGATTAATTTATAATTTACTCCTCTCGATACAGAGCATTGACTACCACTTTTGGAGACATCTGTTGGATTCCTGGATATGTGGCAGTTCTCACGAATTCATCCCGTGAAAGTTCATAAACATTAAACAATGTCTGAGTTGACATTAGTTTTGACTCTATAGGGTATATTAGCTTCTTACAGGAGACAGTTACGACTTGAGAAAGCTGGTAAATTGATAAGATCACTATGATTAAGAGGTCATTAGTGTTTTGATAAGTCAGCATGTTTAAATAAAAAATTATTTTGTGAAATAACATATATGGAAAAATATTTAGGGAACTAGTATAATAAAGAGTGTTGTAATTAGCATCTGTGATGCGTGAGTCATGGACATCAATTGCAACACGTGTCATTACAAATAGTATCTGCAACTCTTCTAATAAAAGCATCTTAGGACAAACTATTGACTGCTTCCCTGAAAAAACAGCAATTTACACAATTACAAATAATATATCATTTTATTAAAAATTAAACTAATTATATTTCTATTTATAATTTTTATAATATATAATAATTTGTAATTATATCTAATATTTTTTCTAACTCATACAAGTTCATGGAACACTCGTGCACAAGCTTGTAATATACATGCAGGCGTGACGAAGACTAATAGCATCTTAACTTGTGGATGAGCTCAAGATTCTTGTGGACGAGCCTATAACACTTGTTAATTGACTAACATCCTCAATACTCTTATGATAAACAATTTTATTTTATATTAATGTTGTTTCAAGACACTCAACCTCTTAAAGTTCACTACGATATAAATTAAATGTAATATTGAGCACAATACATCTCATCTCATTGTCACTGTCACAGATAGTCGTTACTACTTGTCAAGTTTTACATTCCAATTAATTAATCCATATACATACATTAAAAATAATTAGTAGTTATCATCTATAATAAAATTAATTTGGTATTTAATAAATATAAAACAATATTGCATATCAATCAATTATGTTTCGGATATCGAGAGATATGATACATTGGATTTGTGGACGTCTTAAGTAATGTGGCAAGATCAGTGTAATGAAACAACACATGATGGATAGATATCATGTCATATAAATATCTATATCAATTGTTGAATGCCACTCCTCAAAATCATAATCTTTCGTAGTATTCTATATATCAATGTAAGATTCATGAATTACCAACTAGTTTTTCTTGCATTTACCTTGAGGATTAATACTATGCAACTCGTTTTTAGTATCAACATAATCTAGAATATGTTGAGATAGTGCAAACTATCACATTATCTAGTCTAGACAATGCATTCCAACAATATTAAAGTAGTGTAACGAGACTTGTGTTAACCAAATATCAAATCCCTTATAGTATACAGACGAAGTTGGAAATATAAAATTTTCCATTTATAACATTCATATAAACCTATTAGATCATATAAAAACTTATATAAGATAATCAATCAAAACTAAATAATTAATGTTCAAGTAAAAAAACTAAATACATTGGTA